CATGCTGGAAAGAAATGAATTAAAGCAAGAGGCTTTCATTCAAGCTCCCCATAAAATGTGAAGAGGAATCCCTAACCAATTTCTGGTATTACCTCTGATCATTAAGTCTCTGAAACTTCTCCTTGTCTGCACTGTTAATCTTCAGAAGTGGTTGCAGATGCTCATGGTGTGTCTTCACATTCTGGTTATCTACATAGACATCATAGAGATCCTGCTTCTCTTCGAAGATTTTCTCTGTTGTGCCTAGTGAGAAAAAAAAACACAAGAGAATGGGTTGGATCCAAATGAAGTTAAATGCACTTGAGTTTTTCATCAAACTCAATAAGATGTCAGCACTTAAATATGAACATCCATGGTGAGCATGGGCTGCAGTTTCATTTATGTTTTCATTCAGCCTCCAAGGCTGTTGGAAGCAGATGATTTGATGGCATCAACCAAGAGGCCAGGCCCAAATACTTAAAGTGTATTGGGGATTAGGAGTTTTGGAAGTCCAAATAATTGGCTGGGGAATTCTGGGAGCTGAAATCCACAAGTCTTAAAGTTGCCAAGGTTGGATACCCCTGCTGTACGTTTTGCAGAAGCTTAATACATTGTATTTTGATTATTTTGACCTAAGAACTAGACAAAATCAAACCATGGAAAAAGAAGGTGTCCTTGGATCTGCAGAAGTGGCTGAGGATAGCCTACATTGCTTGCTATAGTATATGGAGACTAATCTTTAGATACTTCTTGCATGGAAGTGGTAGGTATTCTTCCAATACAGAACCAGATTTGCTGTGAAGCATTAAGACATGCTACCTCTCTATCTGCCAAAATGAAAGGTTATGTTCCTCAAATATCTTTAATATTCGACTATGATGAATGTATAAATGTTTCATGTAAAATTGTTGGAACTTCAACTTCCACAACAGCCAAACTGATCCCAGGTAGGACAAATCCAAAAAGGAAATAAATTTGGAGCATTACATACTTACAGGCTACATATGCTATTTCAGTCTCCAGCATTTCAATGTCGGCTACATTGACATAGAAAAACGGCTTAGACTCTGGGACGGTGCCTCCAATACCCGGCAAGGAGACGTTGGCAAGGCAGCAGCAGCAATAAACTATGGGCAAGAACAGGAAGAAACCAGCAAGGCATAAGGTAGGCAATGGGATTTCCAGAACTTCTTTGAGAACTTGGGAAAAAACCTGCCACAGGAAGAAATGTCTCTACCCACAGCAATCAAATGATATTCCAAAAATAAAAAAAAATGTTCATTGAGTACCCTTGGAAAAAACAGGAGGAGTTCCAATATGAAAAATGCAAAAAGACATTTGTGAATAAAGACTCTGATTAACACTTTCTTTTTCCAGAACATTGTACATTGTTTGCTTTTCTACTTTTCACGGAGGCCATCACCTCTCTATTCAGGGGTAAGTACGTCAAGATACAATTGACACAATGTGGGTGCAGCTGAAAAACAGACAATTCAGTTTCGTCTACCTCACACCCACATATTTCTGCATGCCTTAGGAACTCAGGAGGCAATGGTGTGAATTTGCCAATAAGATAACTTGTTAAATTATCTACCGAGAATGTAATGAATTGCTATGCGCTAGACAGAAATCGCTGAAGTTCAAGTTCCCACTCAACCATAGAGCCCATTGGATAACTTTGGAATGTCGGTCTGTCCTGTCCTGTCTGTGTATCTATCATCTATTTTTATCCTGCCTTTATTAATTTTTACAAATAACTCAGGGTGGAGAACATATTCAACACATTTTCCTGTTCCTATTTTCCCCACAGCAACAACAACCCTCTATGGTGAGTTGGGCTGAGAGCAAGCGTGACTTGCCCAAGGTCATCCAGCCATTTTCATGGCTAAGGCAGAACTAGAATTGACAATCTCTTGCTTTCCAAACTGGCTCTCTTATTCCATTTCTCTGACTCCAATCCAACTTATGGGTTTTTTGTTATAAAGAAAAATATTGAGGGAGGAGCTTTTAACCATTTTAAGTACCTGAGAGCAAAGGTGCAATATAAATGCAATTTCATTAAAAATGAAAAATATAAAAATTGTTTAATATAAAATTTACACAGTCAGCATGCTAAAAATACTATTCTAGGTAACAACTCTTGTTTTCCACTTACAATATGAGTTGCCAGCTAATTTGGATATTACACAAAACTTAAAAAGTGAAAACTTATATATGCTTCTCTGAATATCTGCATCTGAACATATATGTAAAAGTTTGTACTTTGGGATGTAGAATATTTGTCATTCTCAAAAGAACTTTGCTTACACAGTCCTCAACTTACGTAAGACCTCAACTTACGACTGTAAGTTTTAAGTTCCGAAAGACCTACATGAGTGACACTTATCACCCAGATCTGAATACTAAAGGTCTCCTAGACACCAACTGCAGTCATGTGATTGCCTTTGGGGATCACATGACAATCAGGTTGCATTTATAGCTGTTTGTAGCATGCCATGCAGTGGTGGGATTCAAATTTGTTTACTACTGGTTCTGTGGGCGTGGCTTGGTGGGCGTGGCAGACCACATACTCTCCCCTGCTTCCTACCTCTGTAAAATCTCCAGTTAAGAGATGGTATTTGCTGGTTCTCCAAACTACTCAAAATTTCCGCTACCGGTTCTCCAGAACTGGTCAGAACCTGCTGAATACCACTTCTGATGCCATGGTCACGTTTTTTTTCAAAGGTCTTGCCAAAAATCGGTGTTTATTTCCAATTTGGGGCAAAACCAGCCCATAGCAAACTACTGGTTTATTTAATGACCATGGACCTCACTTTATGACTTTATGCAAAAAAGATTACATGACCAACCAGCTTTATAACTCATAACTCATGACCATTATGGGCAGGCTCCATTACGATCACAACTTGAAGATATGTATAGTAGGGAAATATTTTATTAAACAACAGTTAAAATGGCAAAGTATTACTACAACTTAGTCTACAAGGCAGCCGCTTCCTTAAAAAACATTTCTCTCTCTCTCTCTGCCTCCTTCTCCCTCTCTCCCTCCCTCTCTCTCTCTCTCCCTTTCTCCTTCTCCTTCTCCCTCCCTCCCTCCCTCTCCTTTTCTCTCTCTCCCCCTCCCTTTCTCCCCTCTCTCTCGCCCTCTTTCTTCCTCTCTCTCCCTCCCTTTCTCCCTCTCTCCCCCTCTTCCTCCCCCTCTCTATCTCTCCCTCTCTCCCTCTCTTCCTTCCTTTCTCCCTCTCTCTCCCCCCTCTCTCCCTCCCTCCCTCCCTCTCTCTCCTCTCTTTCTCTCCTTCTCTCTCTCTCCCCCTTCTCTCTCCCCCTTCCTCCCTCTTCCTCTTCTTAAATTCCTGTAATATGAAATGAGCGTGGAAGAATTATGCTTCTGCCTGATTTTGCAACAAAGACCACCTACTCTCCCCTGCTTCCTACCTCTGTAGCAGACCACGCCGACAGGAGGTGGAGAAAATATCAAAATGCGTTTGCGAAGCAAGGCAAACTTCCAGAGTGTCAGGATCTGCTCTCCAAAGAACTTGATGAACTGAGACATACAGCCTGCAGGGTGGGTGATCTGCAGCCAGAGGAAACAGCAAGGAACCGAGGTCAAAGCTAAAACAGGAGAACTGTGGGTGGACTGTGAGCAGCCTATAGAAGTGCCAGTTTCAACGAAAGCTCTGGGAAGAGAGGAGCTACCCAGGCTTGGCATCATCTTTTCGGATAAATAAGCGAAACATTGGTCATTCTCTCTCACTCACAGCAAGGAATTGACTGCTGGGATGAAGGGACACCCCTAGTTTTATTTCATTCAATATTTATGCTGCCATCAAAAGAGTCTGACTTGGTCGATTCCCAACCAAATAAAACGCAAGGAAACATCCACAGTAAGTAAAACAGAAACAAATTTAACAGAAGCACCCACAGCAAGTAGCAAAATATATTATATATATAATAATATATAATATATAAACAAATTATATACATATAAAACATCTACCAATAATAATGAAACTAAGACACACAGTTCAACCGTCGTAATTATTCCTCACCTTCATCTCCGGATACATATATTTGTGGATGGAAGGCAGCCAGTGGATGGGTTGCTGTGAAACAAGAGTGCCTGCTGGGAAGACTCCCTTCTTGTCATCGTAAAAAGCTTCCAAGTGAGAGTAATGTCCTGGCATTTCCAACTGGTGCCTGGAAGGGAAACAAATAAACAAGACAAGCAGCTGTGGAGTGGTCTCTCTGTAGCCTCCCTTATCAGATGCACAATTCTTTTCCTATTCATCTCCATAACAAGAGTGACAGCAAAGTGGTCCAGACGAGGTCTGGACTGAGCCCATTGTTTGGGAGGATGGGTTGGTTGGTAGATATGCCCAATTCAAGGGAAAAAGACTGGGTTTCCCAGCAAATCCTCAGAAGGAATAGCAATAGCATTTAGACTTATATACTGCTTCATTCTTGGGGGCTGTGGTGGCTCATGTGGTAAGACGCTGGGCCTGCACACTACTGAGGTCAGCGGCTCGATTCCTGTGAGGGAATAAACCAAATAGGGACAAGAAAGGAGCCTCCCCCAATTGTCTACCAGCATTCAGGTGTCCCGCGGGTAAAGATAACTCTGCCCGAAAAAATCCTTTCCCAGAGGTAGCCAGCTGCCTCAGTGATCCCTGGCTAACACATGTCATATGCTAAAAAAACCACCCCACTTCATAGTGCTTTATAGCCCTCTCTGAGCAGTTTAGAGAGTCAGCATATTGGCCCCAACAATTTGCATCTTCATTTTACCAACCCGGGGAGGATGGAAGGCTGAAATCAACCTTGAACCAGTCAGAATCGAACTGCTGGCAGTCAGAAGGATTAACTTGCAATATTGCATTCTAACCACTGCGCCACACACAGCATTTCTCTTGTACAGATAAGTCTTGATTTAGAATCAGATTCATGCTGGAGCACACCCCATTCTACGGTTAGACTGGTTATGTCCCATTTTCACTTGGATTTCACCTATTTCTACTTTATGGGGAATAACTTCATTTGGGTACTAAAGGACACACATTAGGTCATCGTTGTCACAGCCAAAATCATAGCAGAGATCTAGAAAATCTAACAGGGCTTCCCATCATCAGCTGAACACTGCCTGTAGGACAACTTGGAGGTGTTAAAAGGAACACCATTCCCACATGAGGACCTACCTGACCTGGTTCTCCAAGAAGTGCATGTATCTGTACAACAGAGTGTAGGAAGGAGAAAGAATGCCCACAGATTTCATGCGTGCCCCACGTTCCAATTCACTGTCCACAGGCATATTGGCAAAACATGCCAAACCAAAGCAAAGGCCTTTACGGAAGTAACTAGAAAAGAATAAGGATATATCTTCAAAGCACCAACAGATAAATGACTAAAAATTTAACAAAGCCTGATGATGGCAGGAAAGACTATGAAAACAGGTCATGGCAGGATTTATAGCACTCATAGCAGTTATACCATTGCTCTTCAGCTATGGGATTGAGAGCTAACTTGCAATCTATCCTGAAAATATTGCACTGGCACAATTTCCTTATACTGCTTTTTCCCCTCTTGGGAAGAATATTATTCCTTCAATCCTAGTTTCAGTTCTAGGATTAAATAAATTTTGAATGGTGGTTAAACAAATGGTTGTTAGGCAAGAACTGCAGATAGGTAGCTATCAAAATACCCAAAATAAATCTGTTTTATTAAATCTTTATTTGGCACCTAAAAAGTAACAAAGTAAGCACCAGGTATATTCTCTTTGACTAGCAATTGATTGATAGCAGAGGCCTGTGGAGAAAATCATCATTAAACAACTACAACTTATGGGCAATTTAGTAAAAAAATTATTATTATGTTCCAAAGAAAGATATATGTTTGTACAGGAATCCAGGGATTAGAGTACAGAAATACTGGAAAAAAAGATAGGAAATGAAGAGAGAGAAAAAATGATAATTGTTGTGCGAGTTTTATTACAGACCACCTGGGTAGGCAGAAGATACCGTATGTAGGCCCTTCTGCGTCAGACGATCGATGTTTCAAAGATGCATGCAATAATGTTAATGACAGATATAAATTATCCTGACATTTACAGGAATCTAATTCTGCCAAGAGGACCAACAATTCCTTATCCTCTCTTGCTGACAATTTTATCTGTCAGAAAGTGGAAGAAAGAAATAGCACCTGCTTTCCTGGACATCATCCTCATCGACAGGGAGGGAATTAACTGAAGGAATTGGCACCTTGGGGAAAAAATGTTTATGCTGCCTTTGAATCTGAGATATCAAGAAAAATCAAACCAGACATCAGAGGAATTGAGAAAGTGGCAATGACGAGTGGAAATGTTCTCTTATTTTGTGTTTACATTTCCTCAGACCAGAAATGGAGCTCTAGATCAGTGGTCGCCAACCAGTGGGCCGAGGACCACTGGTGGTCCATGAGCAAATTTTGGTGGTTCACAGAGAAATGTCCCCCCCAAAGCAATTAATCCAGACTGCACGGGAACACATGGCCTACCCACCTGCTGGCCCTCACCCTTTGGACAAGCACAAACCTTACCTTGAGTAGAGCCACATGAGCTAGAACTGAAAGGTAAGACCAACCGGGGGGAGGGAAATCTACCCCGGGGTGGCTTGCTGACATTGGTGGAAAAGTTGGTCCCATATTCCAGACCTGTAGTAATCACAGGACTGGCCCCTTGGTCATCCCGGAGCAGCTCCTCCAGTCCATGGCAGGCCGGTGCACCCAGGTGGAGGAGCAGCTGCTCTGGAGTGACCAAGGGGCCAGTCCTGTGACTACTGCAGGTCTGGAATATGGGACTGACTTTCCCACCAACATCAGCAAGCCACTGTCAGTCAAAATTCATATTAGTGGTCTGCGGGATTTAAAATAATGAGTTTGATGGTCCCTGAGATCCAAAAGGTTGGTGACCCCTGCTCTAGATAGCTGGTCATGATTATGTCATTGGGAGAAGGAGGAAACTAAGGATAAACAAGGGGAGGATAAGAGAAATGGTGGGTAATTTAAACGATGTCAAGTCTGCAGAAATGGATGGATTCCTAGGCTACTAAAGGAGACCACTGCTGAATTACTGGAGGTCAGGCCACATCCCAGAAGAGAGCAAATGGCATCTTCCAATTCAAAAAGAAAATACAGACCTGTCAGCTTGACATCTGTACTGGGGAAGGTCCTTCCATAGCAAGTCACACCTTGGATAGGTGTGCTACTATCCAAGTTTGTAAGCACTTGGATAGCTACTATTAACAGGAGCTAGCATAGGGTTATTGCAAACAAATTATGCCAAATTATGTCTAATTATATATCTTTCTTTAGCATTACTAGCTTAGTAGCTCAGAAGAATATAATTTATATTTAAATAATTTTCATTATGGTGACCCCTGAGATGTCTTTGGGGAACCCCAGAGATCCTAGGGCCACATTTTTAAGAAACACTGCTGAAGTGGATCCTGCACCGAACCACCTTAGGATTCTATTAACAAATCTGAAAGGCACTTGGCTTGGAAATAGACAAGAACTCATTTTTGCTTTTCAGCACAGATGCCAATTGAATTCCAGATACATTCCAGTTTCCAGACTAGTCTCTGAGAACTGCACCAATGATAAAATAGAGGTGTTTACTGTTTCCTTATAAATCAACCTTCCAACATTGGGTCTTTCAAGATATATTAAGATATAGACATTACCAGAGGCAGACAATGTTTCACCATACTTTGTTTTCCAAATTTACGATTCACTCCTATAAGAAGTAAGAAGAATTGTAGCCAGGAGGGAAAAGAGGGCACTAGAACAATCAAAAAAGTCAAGATGTGTAACTGTAACCATGTCCCTATTTTATGTGCTTCGTGCGCATAGCACACTTTAAACAGAACAGGAGTTTGGTGGCATGGGTGCGGCTAGCATCTTGACTGTTTTATGCTCCTGGACTTTGAAGGTTGAATTGGAATCTGATGAAATCACACAAACATAGATGGACTACCGAGTGTGGCTTAATGTTGCCAGGCATAGGAGTGGGTAAAAGATCATGGACAGTAAACTTTGGTTCTAGGGGCTGTGCATGTCATTTGGTAGCCTACTTTTTCTTTAAATTGCAGTCACCTATACATATGATTGGCATTAACACTAAGCATTTTGTCTTAATAAGGAAAACTATTGTACCCATTTAACCCTTTCCAGATAACTGAAAGATTTGTATAACCAAAACATTTGTATAACTGAGTGGTGCAAGAAGTTGGCAAAGCACTCACATGAAATCGGACTGGATTTTATGGGATCCACTGGCCATAGATTTGAACTCAACACCTTCCAGATCAATGTCTTGTGGCAAACACCATTCAACCATATTACCTGTGCAGAAAGGGAGGAAAACAAAACATTAACACAAGACCAGCACAAGACCAAGGCCATAAAATCACACAGATGCGTCTTTAGTTTTCTGAAAAACACTGAAAGCAGAGCCCCCACTGTCTGACATTATAAGTTAAAGGAGAAGGGAGGTAAAGAGAATATTTGTAACTCAGGATTGAAGTGAGGGGTCCTTGGTGCTCTCTGAGCTTGGTTATTTTCTTGTAGATTTTTCATTACCCAAACATTACAGTGCTAGCACTGATGATGTTACCTAGTTTGAGTAATGAAACATTTGCAAGAAAACAACCAAACTCAAAGAGAACCAAGGATCCCTTATTATAAGTTTGACAGAAATAGCTATTTCTTCCTCATAACCAAAATTCTTAGGGCACCCAGATTAGTTCTAGCTGAATTTTTTTATTGGAAAGAAATAAATTCTCAAAACCTTCTGAAAAATGTGCTTTACATTTTAAAAAAATTCAGCAAGGGTTATTGAGCAAATGTTAGAGTAAACATCATTATAATTCTCTGCTGTTTCCCTTAAGGGTTTTGTGTTTATCAATACCTGTACATTCATCTACCTCAAACATGCAACTGTTCCCTTACTTTGCTAGGTATCAGGAAGACTGATGCCTTACTTCCAGACACTTGCTAAATGAAATATTTATATTTATTCCAACCCCTTGGAAGCCTTACAAAATCAGACATCTCAAATTTCAGTAGATATTAGACTTAAGAACCATTGTTTCAAGTCAAAACGTAGCCATGGAAAGCCTGGCACTTTCTGCCCTGGCTGGTGACAGACATTCAGAGGTTCATGCAGAAATCTTTCCCATCACTTACTACTTGATGTCTGTTAACTGGTAATATGCCCAAAACCTGACTCACCTAAAGCAACCAAATCACTCTGAAGATACAACGTAATTGTATTAGCATACATTCAATATATACTGGGCTCCAGAACCAAAGCAGTGGTCAGTGAATACAAAGCTTGGTTTACTGGGCCAGTAAACCTGATTGATTCTTTTCCTGGTGGCCACCAAGGTCAATTCAGCCTTCTGTGAATGTTTAACTTACAAGGGCAAATTAAATTCCCATATATATGGGGTGGAGATTTCATATGTTTATTCGTGTATGCCTATGTATTACTACATTGGAGATGCTAAGGATTGATCCGAGGATCTTTTGCATGTAAACCACATATCCTCCCTTCCAGACTGCGGTTCTTCCTAGGCATCCCATATCCAAGTTGACAGCAATAGCACTTAGACTTATACACTGCTTCACAGTACTTTACATCCCTCTCTAAGCGGTTTTACAGAGTCAGCATATTGTCCCCCAACAATCTGGGTCCTCATTTTACCCATCTTGCAAGGATGGAAGGCTGAGTCAACCTTGAGCCTGGTGAGATTTGAACAGCCTGCAGTCAGCAGAAGTAGCCTGCAGTACTGCACTCTAACCACCGTGCACCATGGCTCATGGTAAAATCTAAATGACATTTATTTGAAGGAAGCAATGCAGCACATTATTATTCCTTTGCTGCAACATACTGATTATCCATTTATAATCCATATATAGTACCAGTAGCCCTTCCCCAGGCCCATGATTGTTATTTTTATGAAGCTTGTTCTTTCAGATATCACTATGGATTATGCTGTGACATTATCCTGTCTCCAAAGATATCAAGTACAAGTTTCTTCCTTCCTCCATCCCTATTATCCCAATTCTGGTTAGGCAAGTGTATTCCTTATTATCATTTGTTCTATTCCATCTTTCAGGATGACAAACTTCCTGAAATACCTTTAAATGATAATAAAATAAATCATATAAGTAAATATTATTAAAACAAAACAATTATTGTTATTCTGTCCCATTGTATAGGAAGACATTCCTGCCAAAGCACACACAAAAATATTGATTTTTTTTGTGCTGTCAACTTATTTTCAACTCCAAGTGACCACAGAGATTAATTAACACGAATCAACCAACTCTCCATTGGTGGAAAGACCCAGGAGATGGGGGAAGATGGATATGGAAGAATCCAGTTGGAGAAATGTCCAGTCACCTGCTTTTCTCAGAGTATGGAATCATATAGTCTGGACTCAATGAATAAATCATCACGGACTGCATTAATCCACTGAGATGAGCCAGAAGTCATGTACTATGCAACACAATGGGTATTCTTACAAAACATGCTAACTCAAAACCAAACAAAGCACATTATGACTGTCCAACAATTGACTTTCCAAGGACATCCAGTGACTTGCAACTCTTGATCCTAGTTCAACAATCTATTATACCATAATAATCTTCTCTTGCAATGAGTAGTACCTTTTGATGGCATAGGCAAAATAATGCTCAGCATTTAAATATCTGGAATAGAGGCAATGTTCCTTTGGACAAATATCTTTCAGTCCAAACAACTCATAGTGAGGCCTAAAAGGGCGAGACACAGACAGATTAACACAGTTGGAAGGGACCTTGGAGTTCTCCTAGTCCAACTACCTGCTCAAGCAGGAGACCTTATACCATTTTGGACAAATGGCTGTGCAATCTCTTCTTAAAAACCACGAGTGATGGAGCACCTAAGACTTCTGGTGACAAGCCGTTCCACTGATTAATTGTTCTCACTGTCAGGAGATTTCTTCTTAATTCTAGGTTGAATCTCTCTTTAATCATCTTCCACCCATTACTTCTTGTCTTGCTGTCAGGTGAATTCGAGAATAGGTTGACCTCTCCCCCCATCATTGTGACAACTCCTCAAATATTGGAAGACTGTTATCATGTCACCCTTTAGTCCTTCTCTTTGTTAGACTAGATATATTCAGTTCCTGCAACTATTCATCGTGTGTGTCAGCCTCCAGTCCCCTGCTCCCTTGAGCTTCTAAAGAAAAGCCAGGATATAAATAATATATAACAATTAATACTAAATAATTGTGGTGCTCAAGATTTATAGAGCTTCATTTATACCACACACACAAAACCACACATGAAAAACAAAAGAAATTAAATTCAAATCAATCATGAGAAGAGGAAGAGAATTAAGATGCATGATTAGAATTTTAAAATGAAGCATTCTGGACCTGTATAACACCGTATGTCATGTTCCTCCAGGTGTTTAAATAAATCTTGAGGGTTCTTATGCCTGGTTAAGGAATGTTCCTGTTTTATAGGGAGAAGCATCTCTACAAAAATATTTATCTGTTTCGATTTAGGGTATGGCACTAGCTGGTTTGTGGGAAAAATATCCAAAGGCTGCTTGAATATATTAGAGAATGATCTCATCTCTCAAACAAGCCACTTCTTTTGTTTTTTTCCAAGTCCCTTTTCAAGATATTTTGAAAAGTTCCCCAAATGCATTGGGAATACACCAAAGGGATACTCGGCTGAGGAATACTGTTCTAGGGATTTGATGTTTCAGCATGATATGCCTTAGTGTGAGACAGTTTAAAGAAGAAGGACCTAAGAGGCTAGCTAGTGCAGAATCAGATAATTGGCCTATTTGAGTGTTCATAATCGGCATTGATTGGCAGGATCTCAGAACTATTCACTGGGGCCTGTTAATAGTCAAGAGACCAACTAGAGCAGTGTTTCTCAACCTTTTTCTCCCATGGCTCCATTCCAACACTTTCTCCTGTGGCCACCTGTCCAAGTTCCATTAACAATATAAACGTAACATCTGCTGTATTTTCTGACATCAATAGCAGTATCTGCAATGTAATATACTTTGCTTTTCTGTGTCCCCATGGCATGTACTCTGGCCTCCCAGTCCACATTTTTAATCTATAGCCCTATTGTAATATCCTAGGGCCCCTGGGTGCAATATGGTTCCTGGCTGAAATCCACTGAACTACAGGACAATCTGCCCAGTGCCCTCTCCTTGGACTAGCCCTGCATGAAAAGACTTGCGCCCTCTCACTAAGCTTCATAGAGAGTATCTTAACATACTGCACTTGTGTATGGTTTGCCAATTGCACAGTGGCAGACAGGACAGCACTCCAGAGGGTAAACCTCATTGCCAGGAAGATCATTGGTGGTCCTCTCCCCTCTTTGGAAGAGGTCTATAGCTCCTGCTGCCATAACCAAGGGATCAACTTCTGGTTGATCTGAAAAATGGACTCTACACGTGGGTGGGGGGAAATCCTTAGGAAGAAAAGAAAAACTACATTGGCTTCAAATACACCTGGACTGGACAAGACCAGTCCTGCCCTACCCTAAGATAAGATGAACTCAGGTGAAAAAAGAGTAAGAGACAATAAGCAATAGTATTGAAGACAGGTTCTGCTATTTCCTAATTGGTCTCCCAAACGTGGAATCTCAGCAAAAATATATACATTGTATATATACATATACAAACTCCAGGAAGAAATGCCAACTTGATGACATCATCCTACATACTTATCTGGTTGTGGTTGGAGAGAAGGAAGTTTATTTGCTGTGAAACCGGACTCAAAATTCTGTTTGTATTAAGAAAAACAAACATAAAAGAATAGAACAGGAAAATTAAATAGGACAATTATGGTTTTATCCATGGGCGTGGTAGCACCTTGCTCTGGGATTTTGTTGCTCCTCTACAGAAAATTGTTCTCTGACTGGGAGGCATTAAGCCAACCAGTTCAACTGGAATCATTGCTTTATTTATCTGGAATTATGATGACCGTATTAGATGTGTTTTAGATATCCAGCAGTCCCAAAAGGTGTAACAATACATACACACATACCTACACACACATATATAAAATATGAATATCTAAGTAAAATAATCAAGTATAAAACCATCCATCATAAAACAAGACAATAAAAAAATATGAAGGATGCAACAGAAAAAGCAGTATTTTTAAAAGGCAGTTAGGCATTGGGGAACATATTATTTTGCAAATGCCCAAGTCAACTAGGATATGTAAACCAGTTAAGCTGGCTGGAAAGCCTCTTTAAGCCTCATTAACTCATATCATAAGTTTTCCAACTGCTAGCAATCTTATTTTGAATTCAATATTTAA